CTACCATATCTGCCCTTTCTCAATCTGAGAAATGCATCTTAGTTTCCTTAAACGCTTTCTCTGTAGGTTGCTATGGCCCTCACATTGTCAGAACAAATTTTAGCTTCTATGTTTTAGAACAATATCAAAGATTTGCTTTTCACTTATTCATAGTTGGTACCATCTAGAGGTTTTCGACTCAAAATCATTTCTAAGATATTTTCTGAAAAACATATAAAGCACACAATTACAAACAAATAATGCAATAAACAAACGAAGTGCAAGTAGATTCTCATAACTACTCTTGTTTATTGTTAACAATCCTTCAGTTTATCTTTACAAGGCTTACGATGGGCAAGTCACTTGTAAAAACCAAAATTGTTATTTGGGCCTTCAGTGCCATTGCCAGAGCCTCGATGGGAGGGTTAACAATTTTACCAAAGTTGAATGTAATTAACCATTGTTTAATTTCAAAATTATCCTTAGTGTCTAAGCATTGCCGACGATGGGCCGTACAATACTTTACTAAAATTTTGAAATTATTAAGATTTAATCTAGTGAAATCTGATTATCCTTATCCGATGGGGCTTCAGCGATAACCATTTCACTAATAAACCCACAAATGGAGCCCGCAGGTTTTAAAATTAATTAATTTTTAAAACCTTCACCCATTCAACATTTTTGTTTGAGAATTTTCATAAGGCCAGTCGAATTCATTGTTTAATTTCAAAATTATCTTTAATAACTTAGTATTATCGACGATGGGCCGTATAATACTTTATTAAAATTTTGAAATTATTAAGGCCCAATAAAATCCAATCATGCTTATCCGTTGGGGCCTCACATGATTATTTTATTGATAGGCCCACAATGCGCCTGGAGGTTAAATTAATTTCTTAATTTAAATCTCCTCCCATAGATATTTAAGTCCAATCTAATAAAATCCAATCATGCTTATTCGATGGGACTTCACATGATTATTTTATTAATGGTCCTTATAATGCGCTTGAAGGTTAAATTAATTTCTTAATTTAAATCTCCTTCCATTCAACATAAGCAACATTTTCTAATTTCCAAGAATTATTTAATTGAGAGTATCCTTTGTTTGATTTTAAAAACTATATAAGCAAGAGCACCGATAAACGTGCACTAAGCTTAACATAATTTTGAAAGCATTAAGGTCATGAAATCCGGTCACTTTACGTCAGCGTGTGCTCCAAACAATCATGATACATGAATGTTGTATACAGCGTGTGTTATTCCATGACCATTTCAGAAAAACCCACAAATTACTCGCAAAATAAAAGAATTCTCTCAGGAAATTTTCTCTAATTATTGTGCTAGATTTAAATCATCCAAATAGCTGACTTAATTATTAATCTAGATTGCAACAATCATAATAATTATCATTTATGAGGATAATTTGAAATTAAAATAATTTCCATAACGATTATTTGTCTTGATGTTAATTATCCAAAATTAATTAATTCAATTATTAATCTAGATCTTTAATAAAAATCATAATAATTATTAATTAATTTCTTAGGATGATTTAAAATCAAAATAATCCCATAATAACTATCATACTAGTCGCTGAAGACATAATAGCTATTATGCTCATGCAATCATACAAGTTATGCAACAATATGGCACCACCTATTCTATATGGCATGTTATCGCAATAAAGCATGTTATCAATCATATAATTTATACCAATCAATAAAAGCATTAAATAATAAATCATAATTACTTTAATCCATGGCCTTCCTATTTTAAAGAAAATAAAATAAAATAAAATTAAATAATACAACTTTGGAATTCAACTTTCGCCTAGCCCATAGTATCTGTCTCAAGCCCCTTTAGGGTTTCATGGGCCCAAAAGCCCAAAGACCCAATCCTTTGGCGAGAAACCCTAGGACGCGAAAGAGGAACCCTAGCCGTCAGGTCTGCCGCGCCGTCACCCGAACTCAAATCAGGCTGAAACTCCAGGGGAAGGACCGCCACATAGAGACGAGTGCACCGTCGCCGGAACCACCCAAAAAGGTGGCCGGACGCTCTCTCACTCTCCCATTCTTTGCCGGAGAGTGGCGGCCACTCTCAGAAGCTTGTGGAGGCGCGTGGAGGAGCGTTAGGAATCCGATGGCGACTATCCACCCACCGTTGCGTTCGTCTTTCCGTCCTCTTTCCAACCATATATAGATCGTCTCATTCCGAGATCGGGAAGTCCTCGAAAAGTCTCCGACAGTACTGACTGCGCATCTTACTCGCGGTTTCTCGATCTTGAACTTTTACAAAATATTGGAAAAATACACAGAAATTCCGAAAATAAATAAAAACAGCAAGGAGGAAACCTAATCATATGGGATTAGCCTCCTTGTTACAAATCGAGAAATACACGAGAGACCCTAACCATGGATTAAAGCATTTTTATCGATTAAAATTTAAACTTTTATGAAAATGAATTATAAAATGCACATGCTAGATTCATACCATAATCCTAGAACCCTAGGTGCCACATTTCAAGAAGCAAAACTAATTACATGAATAGTGAAACTAGATTCACATACCAATGTACAGCCAAGGCTCTGATACCAATTGAAGGAAATCTTAGATTTATGCGGAAGCGGTTTAGGACCTAGTACATTGGTATGCTTACCGAATCATCCTTGTTTCACAATTACCTCTCGGTGCGCAGGTCTCGTGTAGAATCTTCCCTTGTAGGATTCCTCTTCACGAACAGCTCACCTCAGCGCCGCAGCACGAACAACCTCCTTGAAGCTGGACTGTGGCAGATCTTCCAAACTATCTCTCGAGGAGGAAGGGGAAGTGTGTGGGCACTGATTAGATTCAGAGCTTGCCTCTTTCTCACAAAAAAGACCTTAGAGGCTGATGACTTAAGAGGTACTATTTATATGGGTTCCAAGAAACCCTAGCTCATTGGGCTCTAGGTTCCTTGGGCTCTTCTCATACTAATGACCCATTTGGGCTTTAGTAAAAGAGCAAACCCAACACTCTTCAGTCAAGCGTATATACGATAAAACATGCCAAGGTAGAGCATCAGTGCCAAGTAAATGACCAAAAAAATTTCCCACATTTCGCAATTTATTGATTTCAAGTCGATGAATAATTGAGTACTGCTGCACAAAGCACTTTTCAAAATTTTCTTGATATACTTTGTTGATCATGCAGAGACGCTGCCCCAGAAGACCGTAATATCGAAGGAAAGTTCTTTCTTGGCTGCAACATTCCAAAAGCATAATGCACAATTCCATCTCTTGACCAGGCTCTAACTTAATTTGCAGAAGCTTATGACCAGCTTCCTCAAAATCTGCACTAGACATTATTATTAAGTAAATTGTTCTTCGAAGATGGATAAGATTTGTCTCTGTTTCATCTTTTATTTGCATACTTTCTTCTTCCTCTTCATCATCAGATTCATCTGACTCTGCTGCATCAGAGCCTTCCTCATCATCAGATTCCTCACCCAGTATTGTTTTCTTCAACTCTTCATGACGCTTCTCATTCTCCAGGAAATTGGGGTCTGGCTTGAATATATCACGGGAGAACTCTGGATCTATATCCTCATCCAACAAGACTTCATGAGTTAACTGATCTTCCTGCTCCACAAGGTCCAGCTCAGGACGAACAGCTGGATATCCCTGAAACTTGGCTTTTCTAATTGCAAACAAGCCTTCGATCAGAAACTGAACTCGTTTGTCAATTTCTCCTTGATGAAGAATTTTCACGAAACCGCTCAAAGATACCATGAAGGCCTCTAGGAGAGAGATCCTGCAGTATTGAACCACATTCTGCGACAAAAGCAACGGCTACTCCAACACTGTCATCAGTAGTCTCTTCGAGTAACACTGTAAGTAACTCTAGAGCAATGATCTCGTGAGCCACTTGCTGATTCACCAGATGTGCTATAAATTTAACAGCAGCTAGAGCTGCAAAACAACCCTTGTTAACAAAAGTTTCCCCACCTCGGGAAACTTGGTATTCACAACAGCAACTACCGCAGCAAAGACATCCGTAAAACCAGGAGATGCCATCTGGGACTTCAAACATGATCGAACAAATAGGCCTCTTCCTCTAACCAAGTTTTCTGCAAATAATTTTGGGACTATGCTTTTTACATTAGTTGCATTTACTTTGTTCACGAGTCCGTTAATGCTCTTTCTTAGAGCATCCCACGTTAACCGTTGATACTCAGCACTAGTTTTATCCTCAACTTGTTTAATCATCCGAGCCAACTTAACAGGGGGAATGTAAGCAGCAACTCCATTCAGGTTACCTTCTTGTTGAGTTCTCTTAGCTCTGTTTCTCGCCATGCCAACTTAAAGAACCAACCCTGTTGGTCGTCGGTGAGAGGGGAGACTCGAGAGAGATATGGTGGTATGAGGATTCTTTGGACCGACGATGAAGATTCTCATCTTCACCGCGAATGTGTTTCGCAAGTGGCAGTGGGATGCGGTTTCTGTGATTTTGCGAATGTGAGGAAATAGGGCTGACTGAATTAGGGGATTTGAAAAAACTTGGGATTTCTGATTTTAAAGCCCGTGTGAGCGAGCGAGATAACAATCTTTATTTTGATAATGTTTGCTTGTTATGGCATATATAGCCGAGCATCGAAGTCGTATTATTTTTTCATATCTAATGTGATGGAGCCAGCGAGATAACGGTCTTTATTTTCGTATTATTTTTTCGTATCTTTTCAAATTAATGTCAAAATTTACAATTTGACACTAAAAAAAAAAAAATTAATGGTGTCACATGTTTACAAATCAGAGTCATCGATCTTTTTGATTTAACGGCTCTCAGATAAAATATCAAATTTTAAATTTGATATTAATGTCAAAAAATATTACCTCGTCGTAATTGTAAAAAAAAATAAAAATAAATATAACCATTCAATTAATCTAACGGTGATACGGATAATAATACTTACTGATAATAACAATCTACTGTATTATACATAGGTTTCCGGAGATAAGTGACATCTTATTAATGTGGCATTTTAAGTTATAGATATTTTTAAGCAGGTATCCCCTTCACAGTCACAGCGGTGGAAGGTAAGATAGCTTAGCAAATGGCGTACTTGAGCGCCCGGCGCACCTTAGCATCTACCCTCGCACGAGCTATTTCTTCGTCATCTGCAACAACTGCAAGCGCTTCTCGGTCTCGCTTCGCTTATGCATTGATGTTGCTGACCACCAAACAAACCCTACCCGTCCCTGACTCGGTGAAGTTCCCGGTTCGGACCAAATCATCGGGTTCGGGTTACTCGCCCTTGAACGATCCATCCCCGAACTGGAGCAACCGTCCCCCGAAGGAGACGATTCTTCTCGATGGCTGTGACTACGAGCACTGGCTCATCGTCATGGAGTTCCCCGATAACCCTAAACCCTCCGATGACGAAATGGTTAACACCTATGTCAAAACCCTAGCCCAAGTCCTCGGAAGGTTCCTTCCAATCCTTTCGCTTATTCTCTCCTAACTAATTACCACTCCACTTTTCTTATTTCTACTATAAGGACTTTGGGTTGTGTTTGCAGTGAGGAGGAGGCCAAAAAGAAGATATACTCTGTTTCCACTGCTACATATACAGGCTTCGGTGCTCTCATTTCGGAAGAGCTTTCTTATAAAGTCAAAGGTGATATATTCATTACTTTTGTTTCTGGAACTAACGATTTCAAGGGTTTCTCCTTGACCCTTCATTTTGCTTGAAATTTCTAGCTTCTTTACTGTGATGAGTAATTAGGACTTTATTGTGAATGCTGTTGTGCTGCTATCTGTTTGATTCGAAAATCGAAATAATGGAGGTTAATTTTTCGGGCTATCTTTGCCATTTTATTTTTATTTTTATTTTTATTTTTCGACATAATCAAATTTGGATGTCTTTGTGTGACTTTTGAATCTAAATGAGCATTGGCACAGCATATTTATAAGCATTGCATTCTGGATAATTGGGAATTACTCCATATGCTTAACTGTTGTGGCAACTTTTTGTTCCTTAATAGAGTTACCTGGAGTTCTTTGGGTACTGCCAGATTCCTATCTTGATGTTCCCAACAAGGATTATGGAGGTGAGTTGTGTAAGAGCTTAGTTAATTCTTGGATCATTTTTTGTCTTTCAATTTTGGTTGTCTTGATTACTTTTGGGGGATTTTCAGGTGATTTATTTGTTGATGGGAAAGTAATACCCAGGCCACAGTATAGATATTCTGAAAGGCAACCCAGTAGGAGTAGACCTCGGCCACGGCATGACAGGCGGCGCGAAACAATGCATGTTGAAAGGAGAGACTCTATTCAAAGACAGAACTTGAGCCAAGGTCATGCAGGACCTACTCACCCATCATCAGCTCCAATGAATAGCCTAAACTCAGCTTCAGGTGGAGAGAACCAATGAATGTTTAATAGGAACTCTGCTTGAGAAATTATCTCATATAGATGACAGAACCAAATTTTTCTAGTGGAGAATTGTTATTTAAGGCTGTGAGCTCATATTTTAGATATGTTTATTTTGTATGGAAAATGCCTATGCCTGCGCTTGAAGGGCATTTGATAATAATATTTAGTAATTAGTACCATTATGTTGTTGTGTATGCTCTGCTGATTGCTTCGAGTCAGATCAATTGCTGTTAAAAATTGATAAACTTGAAATAATTATGTGGTTGTTTCTAATGCAACTGTTTGTTTTTTGCATCTCAACCTGTCCTCAATGCCCTATTCATTTGGTCAAATGTGCGTAATGTGTGTCATAAAACATTCAGTTTTTTTGCATTTGTTTAAAGCTGTTACTCTATGGATCTTTTGCTTGATTTGCAAGTATTTTTATCAATATTCCAATTCACCCAGCTCTGCTAGCTATCCAAGAGAACCCAAGTCTCTTGATGGGCCTTCAAAGTTCAAACGTTACAAATGACAAACTGCATAGTGATCACCCAATGGTTGCTATATCTATGAACAATGCAGGGGTCATTCGAAATAGGGCCAGAAACAAGTCAAGAGACCTGTGGGTGGGATGAGTACATCAACTAGCTGATCTATTGCGAATTATGGTTTCCTGATTGTATTGCATAGATCGTGAGTTGGTAAGCATGAATCGTGGAGTTGTTTTTTGTTATACAGTGTGTGCTCATTGTAGTGGGAAGGATAACTGAATTGAATTCCCATTCGTTTTCAGCAATTCTTTCTTTACCTTCCTTCTCTTCTTAGATGTCTCTGGTCCTTATCCACAAAATTTCCGTCACCCTTATCAATCTCCCATGCTTAATAATAATGCATTGGTTTGTTGATTTTGATTTATCTTTCATACTTACATCAGCATTGTTGCTACATGTAGAGTCCTCAATTTCCACCAAAGATGTAACTTATTTTTCCCAATTGTTTGCTCATTTCTCATTGGTGGGGGCAGGCGGCCTTGTTTGGGGCTTAACAATGTTGGTAGGACGGACGGATGCGGACTTATCTCTCAGTTTTTCCCCAATTGACTAATGGTTAAGGGTAATTCTAAACTCGGCAGAATTGTGGGGAAAGAGAAGAAAATCAGATAATTATTGTTTGGAAGGATGTATTTTTCTTTTTCTTTTTTCTATTCAGCTTTCTATATCAAGGATTTGAAATATTATAAAGGTAAAACTGAAAAAATGCTAAATCTACTTGATGGCTGTAGTAAGTAGGAGAGAATTTAGTTTGATTTTTACTAAATATATGTTTAAGAAGGGGCGAAGAGTTTTAATTATGATTAAGTCAGTTGAAATTTACAAAAATATTGGGGGAGTCAAATCGCCTCAAATAGCTTTAACATCAGTTGGACTCTGTTTGGAGCCGGTTCATTAGTTTGTTATAGGTTCAACTACATTATTGATCCAATAGCTGGTTTGGATTGGTTGGTGGTCTGGTTTCTGGTTGAACCAGTTGGACGGTCCGGTTTTAATAATTGTGGCAAAGATATTAAAACAGTTTGATATAATTCCTTTTTCTTTGGCATACAATCTGTTCCGGAACTTGTATCATGAAATTTTTTCCAATGTGGTGCTGGTTATGTTTTGATATTTGTGTGAAGAGCCTTTTTAGCTGTTAAAGTTGGGTGATATTCAAGTGTGTTATCCATGTGTGCTTTGACTTCGAGAAGGCCCAAGACGTGGGCTGCTGTTGTCTTCAATATTTGAATTTTCATAGCTTGTTAGTTGGCCACGTACAATGGTGTCCAGAAGTAAGAGTAATTGATCATCGGATGCTAATACTCGAGCCAACAAGGGTTTCCTCACTCAACTGTTTGATTCAATAATTTTCTAGCTTTAGCAGTGAATTTTCTCGCAATCCGCGAGTAGATTCAGACCTTCAGGGTGTCTCATGCAATAGAAACATCTTATTTCGTTCGTTATAATATCACCCGTGGCCTTCAAAATTCTGTTGTAGAAACTGAAATAGGAAATTTATTACCCCAAAAAAAAAAAACTGAAAAAGGAATCTATCCAATTTCATATGAAAGTAGGGGGTAGAAGCGGAAGTCTATTCTATAATTGAATTCAAGGAGAAATTAAAATAAAACATAAAATTGAATGGCATGAACTAAGGGGCTAAACGAATCAGGAGTCTTAAACTCGGCTCGTAAAGAGTTGGGCTTACATATCTAAAATTGGTTGTTGGAATCATACTTGAACTTGTATAAAAGACCTCAGACTCTAATTCAAAAGTTCGGCCTCAAAGCCTTTCAGGCGGGTTTAGAATACTAACTTTTTTTATTTTATATTTTTTATATTATTCATAATAACTCTCTCTCTCTCCTCAATCCATTTCACCTCATTTTATTGGTTAAACAATTTTTTTGAATGCTTTTGCTTTATATTATGATTTTTGGATATGAATCTTTGTGAAGTTATTAGTGTTGTTGATCATATATTTTGTTTGAATAAATTTTGGTTGTCTTATTTTTTTTTTAAAAACAGGCTAAATCAGACTTTTATTTTTTATAAATAAGACAGGCCGCAAGTGATAATTATTTTCATAACAGATAACAGTCTAGGTCAGGCTGACACATTTAAACACAGACTTAGTCTTTTAATATGAAAGCTCGGCTCGACTTAACACGCTAATGAACGTTATTTGGTGAAATTATTTATGAATGAAAAAAAAATACAATTATACGGTTGTGTCAGTTATTTAATTATTTTTTTAATAACTAATAACGTTGTCATGAAAATAATAAATCGATGGAAATTTTGGAAAACCTATTTTTTATTTTTATTTTTGTGCATACAAAAGGACAGAGCCCGTATTAAAGAAAGCAAATTATAAAGTAGCCACGAAGTAGAAATTCCCATAACGTCACGTAACATGAAGTTTTTTAATTCCCTCAGGTGGTGTATCCCAAATCTTGAGCTCCAGTGTCCACATCGGGTAGTTTTGGTTCTGGCAGCACAACACTATCCAAGCTTATCAGCAACTCAATCCTTGACCTTGAAAGATCACACCGCCTTTGTGGAAAAGAGTATTTCGGTGCAATTTTATCATTTTGCATAACGGGTCAGTGGTAATGTTTAAAAAAAATAATTAATCTTAAATTTGTATTATCCATTGATTTAATTCCTTGATTTGCAAAACTTAGTTTAATTTTTTATTTAAAAATAAAAAAATTACAGCAGCGCTTTAATGTAGTAGATACCAAAAATAGCGATCCAACGAAAAGAACCGTCCATCAAAGAAGAAAGAACCTGCTCTGCAAAGTTCCTCATCTTCCTTCCTTCCTTCCCTTTTTCCATTCGGATCCAATAACTCAATCACGCATTTCAGAGATGAATTCCAACTATGGCAAATCCAACCCGCACAAACCTTCCTCCGTTTCACTCAACAACGTCAATTTCGATTTTGATTTGGGGATCGGATCCAATCGTCCCAAATCCCTAAACGATCAGAAAAACCCCAATCCCTCCTCTTATTCCTCTTATTCCTATTCCAATTCCACCACCACCACTTCCTCTGCCCAACCAAACAAACCATCTTGGACCCACCACCCCGCTCCGACTCAGTCGTCCGGGTTGCCGGGTGCACCCACTTCAATGGTTGGTGACATCTCTGGCAAGAGTTGGGGATCCACTCAACCTTCGGGTTCCAGTATTGGGATTGTTAATAATAAGAACCCCAATCTTTTTGGAGATTTGGTTACCTCTGCTTTGGGACAGGGTTCTAAAACTGCTCCTACCAATGTTCCTCTCAAAAATGCTTCCAAGGTATCATCAGCTCCCACACCCAACAAGACCACCTTTTCAATGGGAACTATGTCTGATTCTTTGCCCAAAACTGGTAACGCCCAACAAAGTAGTGCTGCTTGGGGTGGATCTTCTGGGAGTTTTGGTATTAATGCCAATAAAAGCCCCAGTCTTGGGGGTCGTGGTGGTGGTGCTGCATCTGGGAGTGGAACCGGTTCTATTAACAAAGATCCATTTAGTTCTTTGGCTGGTATTGGATCCAAGCAAACTGCTAGTCTTAATTCAGCTGCTAAAGACCAAAAGGTTGATTCTGCGGATTTTGGTTTTGGAGATTTTCAGAGTGCTTCCAAACCAAGCTCTACCACATTTCCATCAAGTGGTACTACGGGAATTGATGTTGATTTTACTGGATCAACTGCTTCGGATCAGACCCCACCTGTCCAGGCATCAGGTGGTGGTGGTGGTGATCCAATGGACATGTTTTTCACATCTTCCTCGGCCACAGCTGGTGGTGCTGTCGCCTCTGAAGGATTTGGAGGAAAGGTCTCTTCTGAAATGGATGATTGGGGTTTGGATTCCGAGTTTGGTGGGGGAGGCCATGATGTGGGTGGCACAACTACTGAGCTTGAAGGGCTTCCACCACCTCCTTCTGGGATATCAGGTTCCACAGCAAAAGGCAAAGGGGTGGACAGTTACAAGCAGGGGCAATTTGCTGATGCTATTAAGTGGCTTTCATGGTCTGTCATCCTTCTAGAGAAAGCTGGGGATAATGCAGGCACAGTGGAGGTTTTGTCATGCAGGGCTTCATGTTACAAGGAAGTTGGGGAGTATAAAAAGGCAGTGGCGGATTGTACAAAGGTATACTTTAATATCTTAATAATGACTAGTAACAGTTGTTTGTGGGTTAGAATTTGAATAATATATATTATAAAATCTTTATTGCATTATGTTATGCTATTGGTGAATTAATTTGCTAAATTATGGAGACAAATAAGATGGAAGATAAAATTTGCAAGTGTGTGGAAGATAAAACTGTCTTATTGCATTGTGTCCAGCTCTTCATCTGGGCATAAAATCCCTCAAAATGCCTTCAGATTGTTTGTTGATGGGGCCTCTTGTGCTCCAAATAAGAATAGTGCTTGTGGTGGTCTTATCTGCACACATCAGGAGACTGGGTTGGTGGTTTCACCTTCAACATTGGTTTCACCCTCACCTCTACCATCCCAAGTCGGGGGAGCCTTGTGGAAGGGGATTGTCCCTTTGATTTGCTAGTTTAGATTCTGCTTAAAAATAATATTTTGAGATAGTAAAGGAACACGGAATACATCTTTGGTAAATTTTGGATTACCTCTCCTGTTATAGACAGCAATTACTCCTGCCTTCTGCGTTCAAAGACTTGCTATCTCCAAACTTCACTTTATTCTTGAATTTCTCATTCAACGAGACAAAATTCTCCTTGGTTCCTGGCATATGACTGCTGCAGCCACTATAAACATATCAGGCTCCTTCCTCTTTTGAGGTACTACACACACAAAATCTGCTCCAATGTGCCTTCCATGTTTTCTATAAAATGAGCTTCATTGTTCTTCTTCATTGGATAGTCTATACTTGTGATCAGAGTTTCTACAGCTGGCACATTGTCTAATTGGTTGTTGTCATGATTTTTTTTCTTGCAAATAGACTAAGGAGTGGTCTTGTCATTGTTTCTTGGCCTTTCTTAGTTTTGCCTTCTTCTCCCACGTACTTTATTGGATCTTCCTCCTTTCCTTTGTGGCTGATTGTTGTTGTGCTTCTTTTTCTCTACATCTTTCTTTTCAAGAAAATTTATTCCTTGTAAAGCTTGCTCCAAAGGATGATCTAAAAATTCTCCCCATTCTTTTCTCCATGTTCCTCAAGAATCAGGGGAGTTTTTCAATTCATGTTTAGTATATATATTTTTAAATCTTTGGATTCTTCTAGGACAGCAACATAATCAAATCTTTGTGCCAAGCTTCTGGCAAATATACGCTCAAATTGTTGAACTTCCTCCTTCAATGCTAAGTCCAAGCCCATTGAGGGGTTTCCCAAAAACCCTAAACCTTAAACCCTAGATCTCACCTCCTCTATATATTCATTAGTTGTGGGTGGAGGCTAGCTTAGAATGAGAGAGAAAAATTTGAGAGATAATTATTTGAGAGTTTGAGCAAAGTTTTATGCTTTGCATTTAAGAGATCTCTAGAGAGAGTTTGAGTGAAACATCTCTAGGGTAGTTTGATTATCACCATTGTTGGAGAGGTTGAGTTAACCACCACATTGGTGTATTTGATTCTTTGTAACCATTATTTTCATAGTGGATTTTTTATCTGGACTAAGTCCCGTGGGTTTTTACTTCTTCATTGGAGAAAGTTTTCCCACGTTAAAAACTGCTTGTGTTCTCTCTCTCTCCTCTCTCTCTCTCCCGTTTTTCGTTTTGATTTTCCGCCGCGCTGTCCGACCTGGTGAAGTTCAGGCCGAGGTATTGCCGAGATCCGAGATCAGGATCTTGTTTGATTGATTCCGCACAAAGGCTTCTTAGCCGAGCTTGAGGGAACCAAGTTCCCAGCACAAATCTCCAGGTATCAGTAAAAAAAATTCTCTTTAAACTCCACCATTAGATAATTGCCTGGTACTATGTATATCTTAGTTGAGTTGAGACCCAAGGTAGCATGCGTGTTCAATTCTGTAATTGAAGTTTGAAAGGTTAGGATGGATAGCTCTACATATTTGGGTTGCCTTTGTATGATGAATTGAACCGCACCATTTTTATTTATCACGTATAATTTCGAGGAAGAGTATTTTTATCTGCATTTTGTTGTGCAGGTTCTTGAAAACGATGAAACCAATGTATCTGTCCTCGTACAGCGAGCTCTCTTGTACGAGAGTATGGAAAAGTACAAACTTGGTGCGGAAGACCTGAGAACTGTGCTGAAGATTGATCCTGGGAATAGGATTGCTAGAAGTACCGTTCACCGGTTGGCTAAGATGGCCGAATAGAGTTTTTTTTTTTGTTCTTTTCTTTTTCCTTTAATTTTTACATCATATAGGTTTATACCACCCCCATCCCCATTTTCCTTTGCCATGATAGTTAGGGGTTGATATGATATGAACTGCTTTTGGTTGCTGCTGTCACCCTTCTTATTATTTTCTATGTATGGTTTATTTCATTCTGGCTTATGTCTTGAAATTAACATTTTCATTTCCTTCAACCAGATCTGAACTTAATATGAATTGCCATATTTTATTTCTATCATGTCCTTTCATGTGTTTACGTTGTTTGCCTACTAAGAAAGACAGTTTTTTTCTTAAAATTATGAAGAGAGAAGTCGTGACTTCTAGAAATATTTTTCCGAGGTACCGTTGACGATTTTGTTTGTGGTTGTGAATCTGATGTTTGGTTTCACGTTGTCATGCTCCGGACTCCCTAGTCTCTTGGTTTCAGATGTTTGCTACGTACTTCAGCAGTGGCGGACTCACGAATTTCACTCATAAGGGGTGAAAAATAAGAATACCTCTTTATAAATAAAAACACTTCAAGTATAATACAGGCTTAATATGCACAAAATTGATAGATTTAATATGCAAAAAATTGAAAGAAATATATTACAGAAATTAAGATCACTTTACTTGACTCTTACTTTACGTGTTTTCATATCATTAAACTCATCTATAATTGAATCCATGCTAAAACTTAAAATAATTTCTTTTTCAATGTATGTAATCAAAGAATCATCAAGAAATTGAGTTTCTATTCTATTTCGAAGCCTAGATTAGTTTCATAGATGAGAAAAACCTTTCACTAGTTTCTGTAGAAACTGAAAGAGTGAGTACAAGTCTAATCACTCTATCAATAAGAGGATAAATGATGGACTTTTTAATTTTTGCTATCCCTTGACATAATTTAGATGTGGTTGATAAATTAATCAAATATGGATGTTTAGGAATGTCAAGCTTAAAATGTTATAACTCTATCTTCAAATATAATTTTTCCTGTTCTGTGAAATCTCTCAAATAGAATTTATCAACAAGTTTGCAAATATCATCACCGTTCCGTGTTTTTATTTTTTTTTTTAATTTATTTGTCCAACACAATTTGTATTATACAATTTTTAAAATAAATAATTTAATAATAATATTAAAATTTTATTTTATATATATTAAAAAAACAGTTTCTTTAAATTTGGGGGAGGCCCCCCCTCCCCCCTTCCCTAAATCCGCCTCTGTTAACTTGAGTGATATTTTATGGTAGTTGTGTCACTAGATACCAAGTTAACAAGTTTTACGGTTTGTTTTTGGGTTCGAATCATGAAATAAAAAATATAGAACCATATAAACATGACTTATATACACAGAAAAATTCTGGGGCGTAATTACGTGAGCATTAACAAAATTGTGTAGAATTTGGATTATTTACAATTGTTAAATGACGTTTATAATCTTACATTCTAAAAATAAAATAAAAATAAAAAGTTATGTAAAACAAAAATATGAAAGCAAATCATAATGATCATATGCTGACCGCCTGACCCTCCCCGTATTTCCCAAGTGTGACGGGTTTACCGGGGTAAACAGGAGTCCCTCACTGATTGAAACTTGAATTATTATTATGTACCAAAAAAAAAAACTTGAATTATTATTGTTTTAATTTTTATTTTTTTTAGATTTTTTCACCAGTTCATCAACTAATTAGGTCGAGTTGTGCATTACTACAAAGACGATAAAGTTTTTTTTTATTGAGTTTTTAACACAATTGCATATCCAAGAATTAGGCAAAAAAATTAATTTAATGTTTTTTAATAAAATAATTATGCATTTATTACAGTTTTAGAAATAATTATAGATCTATTGCACAATGTGACCCCCTTTTGGGCGTCACATGTGACGCCCATTGAGGCGTCTCACCCTAAGGAGAGACGCCCATCAAGTGTTGACATGTGTCATTTTTTTTTCAAAAAAAAAATTAATTTAATCATAAAACTTTTGAAGGCCATAACTTTTGACTTGGGTATCCAAATCAGGTAATTCATTTTTTGATTCCACGTAACTTTTTGAGATCTACGCAATGACATCTTATATGATATATTTTATTTCTCACAAACATAATTTAAATTTAAATCAGGTAATCTTTCTCCTTTTGAGATTTAGAATATTTATTTAATTGTTTTCTTTATTAATACAGATTTTTCAAATTGATTTTTGAGTTTAAATAACAAATCAAATCAAATCTTTATTTTGTTTTTCTTATTAATAATAATTGTTACTTTTAATTTAAATCACAAACCAAATATTTTTTATAAAAAAATAAAAAAATTAATTTAAATCACACATCAAATCTTTATTTATTTTTTATATTAAATCACAAATGCAGAACTCAGAAGCTTCTGAGTTTTAAAATGTGACACGTGTCAACACCTGACATGTCACCAATCACGTCTAAATTGGGTTTCAATCCGGAGGCAATCACGCTTAATTTAGGTAATTTTATTTTTGAAAAACATTCATAAGCATCGTTAATTTCAGACCACGAATAATAATCCAGAAGCTTATAGCATTAATCATTAATTTTAAAAATAATATCCTTCTTCTTTAGAGATTTAGAATATTTATTTGATTATTTCTTTTGTTTCTACAGATTTAAATCACAAATCAAAATTTTATTTATTTTTTATATTAAATCACAAACTCATAACTTAGAGGCTTCTGGGTTTAACCGCTCTTATAATACCATTCTTGCAATTAAAATTATGTTTGTGAGAAATAAAATATATCAAATGAGATGCCATTGCGTAGATCTCGAAAAATTATGTGGAATCAAAAAAAGAATTACCTAATTTGGATACCCAAGTCAAAAGTTATGGCCTTCAAAAGTTTTATGATTAAATTAATTTTTTTTGTTGAAAAAAAATGACACGTGTCAACACCTGATGAGTGATGCCCCGTTGGGGCGTCTCCCATTGGGGCGTCTCCCCTTAAGGTGAGACGCCTTAATGGGGCGTGACGCCCAAAAGGGGTGTCACATTGTGCAATAGATCCGTAATTATTTTCAAAACTGTAATAAATGCGTAATTATTTTATTAAAAAACATTAAATTAATTTTTTTGCCCCATGAATTAAACCCAAAATTTTCTTTGTTAAATGAACCCATGAATCAAATCCGAAATCATCGGTAAAGTTGGATTGAATGAAAAAGGGATAATATTTTTAGGTTAGGATTGTAATTTGAAAAGATGATAAGAACCACATTTCTAGCATTAGGTGTAGGAAAAAGTGTGTATCTTTTTAAAGGATACACACTTATATCATTTTAAGAGTGATAAAGAAATAAACTTGGGGAAGAGAGAGAGGAGGGAAAATTTTGTAATTTAAAATTTGAAAAAATACACTATATTTATCTAAAAGGACCATCCTTTTAAATGATAAACAATAAACCCGTAGGTATAATTAAGATAGTTTCAATTATAATATTCTCCTACTCAGGTTGCTTCAAACTGAAGAATAGTATATATTTCTATTTTTATTTATTAAATTCTGAAGAATCTCCGGATTTAGACACTATTTAGAACTTATTGCTTAACGGGCACATTGGTCCAAAAAAAAAAAAAACACACTCCACGACATTTGATACAAGATCAAACATAGATTGAATGATGGATATTTGTCTGCCTACTTTTTTAATTTTTAGAGTAAATATTCTTTTTGGTCCTTAGAAAATTTCACGATACTCGTTTTAGTCCCTAACAAATAAAAAGGTCCATCGTGGTCCCTAATATATTTAAAATGGATTTATTTTAGTCCTTTGAGGGACTAATATGGGTCTTTCTTAAATTTGTCAGGGACCACGATTTCAACTAAATGGATCCATTTTGAATTCTTAGGGACCACGATGGACTTTTTTATTTGCTAGAAATTAAAATAGACATCATAAAATTTGCTGAGGACCAAAAAGAATATTTACTCTAATTTTTATTTTAACCTCTATATTGTTCATACAAACAACCATTAGGTAGGTATCTTTTTTCTAAGCAAAAGAATATTATGCCAAGTCATTGAATTGCATGTAAATTTATGTAGAATAGTAATAATGTGATCCTAAATAATTTTAACTGTATTTCTTTATCCTTTTTTATTTTAAATTCACGTTTATTTAGTATAACTAGTTTTATTAATTATATTTTATTGTTCACTGTTTAAAAATGTCACTATTTATCCACCCAAAAAAAATGCCACTATTTGAAAATTTGAAATATATACAGAGTGGAGTATAAAAAGTACAAAAAAAATCTTAATTCTAATTTGATCGACAAAAAATAAAAAATAATTGAGAACTTTGAAATTTTATATACTGTATTATTGAGGAATATAAAAATATTTTATATTATATATTTAACATTTATTTTAATCTTTACAACCCTTATTTCTTCATATTAAAGGTTCAAATTTACAACCCTTATTTCCCGTGAACTAAACTCTCCATCGCTATCTAAAAGATAGTACATTTTCACATTTTCTCTTCGTAGTCTGACTACCTAAATACCATTGCGAAGTTCCTAATAAATTATTTTTTTCATTGATGTTACCAATTTATAAACTCATTTAGTGTCCGTTTGGATAGACTTTTATTACTAAAAAAATTGTTTTTTTTTAAAAAATAAAAGTTCTTTTGAGAATTTTTAGATGTTTGGATAACAATTTTTTAAAAAAGCAAAATTTAAAATAAAAGTTAAAATGCTGCTTTTTTTATAGTCAGTAGTTGGTTGCTTTTGAAAAAAGCAGAAATTAAAAGATAATATAAAATTTTTTTTAGAAAAAAGATAATATAAATTTTTAAAATACAATTTTAACCTTATCCTATCATATCTATTTTATCTCTTCTTATCCCACGATAGGGTTGGCAAAAACGAGCCAACCCGTCGGGTTAGCTCGTAACCCGCCAAAAATGAGCGTTAGGTTGGCAAAAATGAGCTGCCAACCCGGCTCGTTTCAACCCGTGAAAAAATGAGCCAACCCGCGGGTCAAACGAGCCAGCTCGCGGGTTGAGTTTTTTTTTTATTAATAAAAAAATACAAAATATAATATAGAAAAATGGACAAAACTCACACATGTTGTCATCATTTTTCTTCCTTATCTAAACCTAGGTCCCTAATCTTCTCACATCCCTGCCATTTTTATATTGTTAGGCTGTGCTGGCTCTGTTTGGTTCAAATAT